GTCCATAACTTTCAGTTGGGACAGAAATTATTTCTTAAAGCATTATGTTCTTGAAGAACCCCCTCCCCCAACTCCATCTCTTGTTTCCTTATAGGTGACAATTTATCACTGTATTATATGATGTAGTAGAAAACATTTAATTACTATTCAGAAGTTCTGGGTTCTACCACTTAATAGTAGTGTTATTTTGGGTAATTCTCTTAACCTGTCTTAGTTTTCTTATTCATAAAAAATTGCCTACTTATTTCACAGAAATATTCAGTGGGTAAAAGAATATATGTGAAGTGCTTGTAAACTGTAGGGTGCTATATAAATATAAGGTGTTACTCTTGCCTTGGAATAATAATAGTGGGAAAAATATAATACTCCATGATTTTATAGCATATCATCATCGACAACAAAGTTAAAATAAGTTTTATAAGGGATATTAACATGGATTTTAAACAATCAATGACTTAACCAAAGCTTTTTTGTAGAACTATCTAGTAATTACACAGCAAATTTAGTTACACAGGGAAAGTTACCAAGATATTATGATTAATATTTTAAGATTAATTCTCAGTTGTAGACTTAGTTTCCTCATGTATAAAATAAGGGGTAATAGGATCTCTGAGATTCATTTCAGCCTAAGTTATATGATTCTATGATTTTATGTCTATAACATACAGGAACAGGTTTATTCCTAAACATAATTCAGTCTATTTATATAGATGTATTAATGGCTAAACTGAAAATCATAAAGCTTCAAGGGTTAAAGTAATAGAAGAATCCGGGTATAGACCTTATGACTCCATCCCTTTTCAGACTGTACTCCTGGATCACAGTTTAATGTTACATTCACTTTGTAATTTATTAATAAGATTCCCTAGGATAGTCTTGGTTTAATTTAAGCCTATTATTAGAATTTTAGTTTTTGAAAATAATTTTTGAATAAAATGATTTTATAGGTTTATTAATATGATAAAACTTGTATAAATACTGTATTTCAAAGATTATATAATTTTAATTATTTTTGGTGCCTTCTTTCACTCTCAAGTGTCCTGATTTGGATGATAAATTATATGGTTATTCCATATAAAAAGAACTTGGAGCAGAGATCAACAGAATTAAGAATTTTGTGACTACCACTAGGAGCAAAAGGGAATGCAGAACTTTATATGACTGATAAAGCATCAGAAGACCTTGTCTATAGGCAAATGACCTTCATTTCTATAATGGTAAACAAAATCAAGTCTCTTTGTTACTCATCAGTAAAGGTGGGAATGAGACTCAAGAGGAAATATGTGCTGGTGAACCAAAACCAAACCAAACCCAATGCTGTCTAGTTGATTCCAACTCATAGAAACCCTATAGGACAGAGTAGAACTGCCTCACAGGGTTTCCAAGGCTATAATCTTTACAGAAGCAGACTGCCGCATCTTTCTCTCGTGGAGCAGCTGGTGGGTTTGAACTGCTGACCTTTCAGTTAGCAGCCGAGCACTTAGCCACTGTTACCAGGGCTCCTTATATTAATGAAACAAGGGCTCCTAATTCTGAGTTAATACGATGATATTTCAGAGACAGCTAGTTAAACTAATACTCATATTGGAACTTGGAAGTCTCTGACAATGTGGTATCTCTAAGAAAAGATGTAACTGAATTCTTACACATGACCCTATTGAGACTCTATTTACAAGTCTCTAGTGTAATAAAATGAACTGTACTTTATTAACAATAGAAACAAGATTCTTTTGAAACTGCATGACCTGAGATTAAATTCTGTCAGTGAAAACTGTACTGTCAGTTACCTTCACTTAGACTATATAAAGATGTTTGGTTTGAAGGGTATTTAATGAAGGAAGAAGACCAACTGGATTTTTATGAAGAAGTGATCTTTAGAATGAACTTTGGATATTTCCCCAAATAGCTCATCATTTTGAAGAAAATAAGGGTCGCTGAATCCACTGGAATGGGTATACAAAATTTAAGCAAAGCTGACAGTGATTTAGAAATTAATTTTCAAGAAGCAAGTGTATAGATTAAATAAATTGTGTAATGTCAGGTTTATATCCCAAATCAGACTTAGAGTCATTAAAGAAGTTTTTAACTTCAAAAAATCTCTTTAAGAAACAAACAAGCATCCTCTCTTCAGTTTTCCAACCATTTTTCACATTATGGCATACCTAAAAAATGATAACATTCACACTGGCACACTAAGGTTAACAAAGGAGCCTGCTTGCACTGGAAGTAACTGACCTGGGCTGAGAGGACTGATAATATCTTGAAATATGTGTAACCCTTTCATGGCATGCCACGTCCAGCATACCAGTTGAGAAGCTTGGGTCCATTGGAAAGTAAAAGATATTAATTAAGACAAAATGGACCTTAATCAGCTATGCATGAAACTGAACAAGAGTTCGCAAAAAACCCAGAATATGAGTATTGATTGGGTAAGGAAAATGAGCCCAAGTAACTTACATCATGCTGAAAATATTTTCTCTGTGGATATCATGGTCATCTGGTCATGTTTTCTACTACCTATAATAATTTCTGACATTTCCTTGGAGACTCTAGTACTTCAAGAACCATGCTGAATAGAAAAATTAATATTCTGTATACATTATTTTGGTAAGTAACATGAGTAGATTTACTGAATTCTCCAGTGCTATTTTTAATGGTGCTATTAAGATTAACAAAGTCTTTTTTTTCCTTGGATAGTAAGGAGAAGAGCTTAAATTATGCCTTCAAGATCACCAATACAGAGAGAAATACATAGCTCTAATCTAATTCTGTAGGAAAGCATCAGTTAAACATTTGATATGGAATGAGCTAAACCTTAATAAGAATTTCAGAATTTTTTATTTCTCACAAATGAGATAGTCAGTTGCCTCTAACTAGAAGTAGAAGGTTCACAGAACTCTGGTGCATTAATTACATGTGGAAATCTATTAACTGTTTGCTTTATATTTTGTACAAGGGAATTGAAAAATATCTGATAGATAAGCTTCAAAAACCCACCTGTTAAAAAGTAAGAACCTGCCTCTAACTTCAGATTCCTAATCCAGACATGTAGAATGGGTGCCATACTGCTTGTTAATAAGTGATAGTAAAATAATATTGTCTATTCTAATCAGTGTACATATACTGTTCATATGTTGTTGTTGGGTGCCGTTGAGTTGATTCCGATTTAGTGACCTTGTTCATATATGTGTGTGTGTATATATATATATATATATATATATATATATATATATACATACACAGCATAAAAAAGGCTCTGCTTTGTAAGACATTTATATGAAAGGACTTTACTACAGATTACCACATAGCCTCAAATTTCAGATGATCCAGATTATATTCAACCAGATTTTAAAAACAGGATGAATGATACACCAAAGAGCATCTGAAATCCAAACACTATGAGATATTGAAGGATGAACTTGAAAACATTTTTTTCTCAAATGCTTCATGAGATACAGTGAAAGTACAAGTCACATCATATGGAGAAATTACCTTGAGATAATTTATAGCTTATGATAGACCCTTCAAGAATGTGAATCTGCTAAAGTGCAGTATAAAATGTCTGTATTTCACTATTACCTAGGGTTGCACCTATGAAATCCTTTGAGGAAACAGGATAGCCTTCTGAAACAAATAATAAGATATATATGTACAAAAAGATGTATAGTAACTAACATATCCTTTCCAGTTTTAACTAATGTTTAGGATTTTGTCACAAAGGTAACTCTCTGCCTGATCATTATCTTCTAAAATTTCTTGTTATAATATTTATAATATATAAAGTAAAATTAATTGTCAAAGAGGGTTAAAAGGATTTAATATTCCATGTTCAAGAAAAAGCTATCTCTGTTCCCTCTTTTTTCATACTTCCAGAATGCTTACTGTTGTTTTTAGGAACCACTGTGAAAAACTTGGAGCTGGGTTCAGAAATGAAGAAGGAAAGAAGCTGTGAAAACCAAGAATGACACTCTCTTTAAGTATGAGTTAGCTGCGTTTAGGTTGGATTCCTTACACCAAAACATCTTTCCTCACACTGTTGAGTTTTTTCATGTTACATTATACCGTTCAAAATTCTGTCACACCTGGATTAAGCCTTTTGGGTTAATAGGCATTCTCTAGGGTCTCTAAAAATTTGGAGAAATTCTGTCCAAAATAGAAAACATATGTCCCTCAGAATGCAAGTAGCCAGAGGAGGGAAGAGCCAGAACGAAGGAAGGTCTGTCTTAAAGTCAGCATACTCAGCTTTTATTATTGATTCAAACAACGATATGGTACTTGGAGAACAAGTTGGAAAGGAGATAAATTCAGGTGGGTTCACAGAGAATTCTTCCCAGATTGAAACAGAAGACAACTGATGACCTTAAGGAATTTAGTGGGACAGGAAGAGTATAGTTTGACTTCTAATTTGGAATTTTCGAAAGGGAAAACTTGATTTTTGTACATTCTGAAAGCTATCAAAGACAAGGATTTAGAGATAATATTACAAAGTCTGTCAGTGGTAGTTAATGGAAGGAGAATAAATGCCAAGACTTTGAGGCAGGTTACTTTGAATCCTTTATGATTCTGGGAAGACACTTGACTCTTCTTCTTAAAAAAACAAAACAACAACAAAAAACTACCATCTCTTCAAAAGATTTATTTCCCTAGGGAAGAAAACTCTGAGGTGTGTTTTTTATCCTCTATATCACCCAAAGGAAGAACTGGAGAAAGAAACAGTAAAGAGTCTAATTCAAAGGACTTTCTTACTACACATTCTATCTTCAGGCCTAAGGGTGTACCTGAATGGTACATCCCCAAATGTCTGAAGATCTAGGGTCCTCCAAATTTTCTCTGATGTGGAACAAAGTACAATAAAGTAAAAGGGCTGGAGTGAAGGGAAGACTCTTGAAGTGGAGAGGAAGAGAAGGATTTTAGTCCCTAAGTTTAGAGAGGAGCCCTGGTGGTACAGTGGTTAACATATGAGCTCCTAACCAAAAGGTCAGCAGTTTGAATCCACCAGCCCCTCCTTGGAAACCCTATGGGGTAGTTCTACTCTGTCTTACAGGATTGATGTGAGTTGGAATCGACTTGATGACAACTGGTAAGTGTAGAGATGCCACTTCTCACACCTCTGTTTTCCAAAGGGAAAAGGGAAGAGGTACACCAAGCTGATGTTTATGACTCATATCACCTTGAGAGAAATACTAAGTGACAATTACCCTGTAGGTGCGTACCTTGATAGAAATAAAAAACTGAGGTTAATGTAATAGCATCACTACAAAAAAATTATTCAACTAAAGTATTAGCAAATCATGAAGTACTGGCTTCTATTAATCTAAGAAGTACATTATCAAATGAAGAAAACTTAAAAATCAGTGCATGGAAAATTTAAAAATTACATGTCTTAAAAATAAGTCATGTCAATGTAGTATCACTGACTAGCCTAAATAAAATGTCTTAATGACTTGTATACCTTTCCTTCACTATCATCAGGCTTGGCATTGTATTAACTGATAACTTTTTAAAGCAGCATACCTAAAAAGAATGATCAAACTGGAAATCCTAAATGTTAGTTCACTGGTTTGCAATCTATGGCTACTATTTTATATTTGCTGATCCTGACAGGTCAGAAAGATGGGTAACATCAAGATAACCATGAAACTAGTATATAGAAAACTAAAGAAGTATTAAATGATGTGGAAAGGAAAAATAAAATGAGACAATGTGAAACGAAACAAGTAATCCTGAACAGTACTTGGCTTCTGGGAGGAGCGAGTAGAATGCTGAAAACATTAGCAAATTTATGCAATACATAAAAGCAAAGAGACAGAAACACACAGTAGGTCCAAGAATTAGCAGACACTGTAGTTACTCATCAGAAAGTAGTATTAAACATGGAAGGACTGAAGCTGATACCATATTTTTAGGAATCTATGCACATGAATAAAAAAACACTGCCTATAGAGTTGAAAGAAACAACACCAATTATGACTATTATTTATATCCATCCTTCAGGTAAAATTTTCCGCTTTTAAATCTATAGGGATTTCAAATAAATTTTAGCTAAAGTATAGGTCTACAGGCCAGCAATTAACTATTTATAACAATAGGGAATGTTGAAGCATGATATCAAAGTTGGATTGGATGCCCTCCTAAAGTCCTTTCTAGTCTGAGTCTATATTTTAATACTATCAAAGCACTATTTCTGGGAAAGACACAAAGAATTTGTGTGTGTGTGTAATCGAAATTCATTATTTTAAAGTTAAACATAGCATAGATCCAGGAAACACTCCTACATATGGGACTTGTACATTTCTTTGAAAATACTGTACTGCCACTGTTGGCAAAACTTAAAAAGCAATCTTCTATAAACTAAACTCTTTTTCTAAGCTGTCTTTCCAAGAAATCAGTTGACAGAGGAAGTTAAAGTCTTAATTTTCCAAGATCCTTTATCTTTTGACATGCTACCATCTTTCTATATCTGATTGTATTAGAGATTTTGGGCAAAAAGTTTGCAAGGTTATTGCCTTGTGATTTTGGTCCATGTACTAATATTTGTATTATCCATTTTCTAAGAAACTCTAACACAGAGTGAATTTCAGATATGTCTTCAGAGTGGGCTTTCAAAATGGGTACTAAGTAAGTAAAAACTTACTTTTCAAAATTATCTATAGACGATATACTATAAAATAGAAAAAGCATCAAATGGGTTTCACTTAGTATGTGTAAGGAGAATTTCCTTTTCCCAAACAGTCTGTTATTAAAAATAACAAGTTTTGGGCTGTTGGGCTGTCAGACTAAGACATGAAGAAAGTTGGATGATATCCTCTTATATATTCAAGTTGTCAGTAAATTCCAAAGTTTGATTAGTTTCTCAAAATAAAACTAAATTCTAAGTAAGTGTATAAGCATGAATTACATATATGTATACATATGTATGTATGTATATAATCTGTATAGCTCTGTGGAAGAAACACACTTGGGTATCAATTACTATCAAAATTCCTGATTCAGTAATCATTAATTTTTATTAACAGTTCAGGATATGTTTAGCATTGCGTTTAACATTTTGAAAATTGAAACATTAACTTTTTATTCTCAAGGATAGTGCTATTAAAGGAAGATCTTTAACATCAGTGGTTAATAATTTTTACTTACAGAACAAAAACTTCTGAAATTTCATTGTGGGACTTACTAGTCTATTTACATTTCTAAAAACTGAGAATAATTAATGTACATGGGTTCGTTGTATGCTAGTAGTATACATTCATAGGATCCTATTGTTCTCATGAAACCATTTGACTGGGAAACATACTCAATATGGTTTCAAAAGAAAACACTCTATTTGAATCACCAAAGAAAAACTTTAGGGTTTATATATTATTTCTGCTGTTAACTGCTGAACATGGAAAACATTTAGGGATGGAAGAGGAAAGGAAGAGACAGATTTTTTAGGGGATGGCCAGTTTTTATGGCTTATCCTCTGTCTCCTAAAAGGTAGTCAGTGAAATAACTACAAATGCATGTAAAGAAGGATTTTTTCATACTACTATAGAAATTTTAATGATTTAAAAACCCTTATGATTCGTTCTGTAGCTTCTGAACAATGAATTTCCTACCTATTTTCCACTTTCATAACCAAAATTGGCTTTAGAATCAGAATCTTAAGTGTAAGAAAGTTTTGCTTTTTAAAAAACAATTTCCTTTTTAAAATTAGTAACATATAATTGAATATATTGGTAGCATAAGAAGAATAGGTCAAAAGACTAAAGCATTCAAAGAATATTAGACAGCGCAGTATCAGTTAATGTTATGTGATCATGTCAGAGGTGAGTCCTTCTTTTATCAAAATAATTCCACTAGGTGGGACCTGTATTATATAAAATTTGGTACTAAAATGGATTGTGTTCTAGGAAGATTCCAATGTTATCTCAAACATTAGAGACAAAAAATGATACAGTCAGATTAAACAGATGGAAAGGCTAGAATACTGATAATATTAGTGATACTTCCAATATTTGGAAAATATTATAAAAAAGTATAAATAATATTTCAATTCTGAAAATCATGGCAGGAGCAAAATTAATAAGGAGTAGCAGTAACAAATTAGTAAAAAATTAGACAAGACGATGTTAAATAACAAAATAGAACTTCAAAGCAAAGTGGTATAACTAAATAGTAAACTATATGCTAAAAGGCATGAACATAACTAAAAATTCTTTTATAATTAGAAATAATTCTTATCCTAAATAAGAAAGTAAATATCAAAGAATATGAAACATAAATCCAAATGTCTGTAAAGAAGAGAAATAACACAAAGCAGAGAAAATGAAAGACACCTTACTATTCTCAATGTGGTTATTATTTATGGAATGGATAAAACATCTATTATAGAAAATGTCACTATAGTTAGATTAATACATATAAAAAACCATCATACCACATCTACCTAAATGATTCTGTAGAACTGCTGAAAGGGCAAATTTCATCAAATTTAGACAGCTTATAGTTGGAATACGTAAGTATGGTGAGGTATTAACTAACCCTAAATTTCACAACGGGCAGCTTCTAGCCGGTTCGTTGAAGCTGGATCTCGGCCACACAAGGATCACTGGACAAGAAATCAGTTGAGCTGGACTAGAGCTGCCCAATTTGTCTTAATAATGAATGCTCCACACTGTCTGTTAAGTAAAGAGAGAGAAAATGTAGATCAGAGAGACTGAACAAAAAAAAAGAATGAGAATAAGTTAGGATAGATGAGTCTAGAACATCAATCGACATTTACTAAGTACTTGTAATATGTGCTACTAATATTACAGTAAGGAGCCTAGGTGGTGCAGTTGTTAAAGTGCTTGACTGCTAACTAAAAAGTCAGTGGTTCAAACCCACCAGCCGCTCTGCAGGCAAAAGATGTGGCAGTCTGCTTCCGTAAAGACTGCATCCTTGAAAACACTATGGGGTGGTTCTACTCTGTCCTATAGGGTAGCTATGAGTCGGAATTGACTCAACAAGAACGGGTTTTGTTTTAATATTACAGTGTTTCAAACTGAGAGGCTAGAGATTAGGAGGGGTCAAGAACTCACCATATTTCACATTATACTTTAAGAGGATACTTTAGCCTGACAATGGGTTAAGCCAATTAGTGTCAAACTAGGTCTGCAGTACAATACAGCCCATCACCTGTTTTTGTAAATAAAGCTTTACTGAACACAGCCACAATCATTTGTTTACATTTTCTCCAAAGCTGCTTTCGAGTTACAAAGGCAGAGCTGAGTAGTTGTGAAAGAGACCATATAGCCTGCAAAGCTTAAAATATTTACTATCTGGCCCTTTACAGAAACAGTTTGTCGACCCCTGGTTTAACCTATTCAAAGTAGAAAGAAATGTTCAGGTTGAGGACTTCTGAAATTCTATGAAAGAAAACCTTAATAAGATATCCTTAAATGCAAAGAGTAAATACACTCTATATTGTAGAAATAAATTATTATGACCCTTAAATGTACTGGATTCAGCCTTGATCAAAATGAAAGTTAAAATCAGATTACAAATATAACAGAAATCTTGAAAGAAACTAAGAAACTGCTGATACCAGTGCTTTTTAGACTAGAAAGCGAAGGATTAACAAGATATATAAGAAGATAAGTATTTTAATGTATTAAATATTCTTCACTACAAATAATATTGAATATACCATGGACTGCCAGAAGAACAGAGCCCTGCTGGCTCAGTGGTTAAGAGCTTGCCTGCTAACCAACAGGTCAGCAGTTCGAATCCACCAGCCACTCCTTGGAAACCCTATGGGGCAGTTCTGCTCTGTCCTATAGGGTCGCTATGAGTTGGAACTGACTTGACAGCCATGGGTTTGGTTTTGGTTTAGTTAAAATAATGCTCAAGTTAAATCTATACTTATTCTGTGTCTTACCATCAGAAAGTTAAGTTTCTGTCTGTTTACTAAAAGCATAAAGAGCTTTCTTATAATACTGAAAGTTTATTTTTAAAACATTCAAGGACTTGACTTTTTAACCTTGAGAGTATTAGTGTTTGTTATAGAGAGCTACATTTGTTAGGATGTTGGTTGTAGAACATTGTTTACTTAATGTGGTAAAGTATATTTGCCATATGTGCTTTATATTATTCCTTATCAACCTGCTGCCTATGTCATTGCTTATTTAGACTGAATAGCCTTAACTAGTATGGAAGACTGAAAGGTTTTCTCAGAATTAGGAACATGTAGCTACAGCTATTCCTCTTTGTAAAGTTATGTTACAAGTAAAATGATTTTAACACAGAGTTTCTTAACTGTTTTTGTGTGCATGCATGCCATGGACTCCTTTGGTGGGCTAGTGAGATCTGTGAACCCCCTTCTTAGGACAATGTTTTTTTTTTTAAATACATAAAATAAAACACATAGGATTATAAGAGAAACAAATTATATTGTAATACACTTCTTTCCACAGACTCTTTGGAGTCTTGATCATATTAACTTTAAAACCCAACACAGAATTTCAGTATCTCTTTTCCTTGAACTTAAAGATTAAATGTAAATGACTGGAACAGTGATTATTCTACAATACAACCCAATACAGAATTTC